AGGGACTTTGCTTCAAATGTGGTGAAAGATGGGGAAGAGAGCACTCTTGCAAAATGAAGAATTACAAAATGATTTTAGTGGAGGATTCCGAGGGAGAAGAGGAAATAGTTAACCCAGAAGGGGTAATCCCTGAAGAAGAAAAGATCACCATGGAATTTAAGTCCATGCAATTGTCCTTCATGAACCAGGACGGAAAACCCTCTACGAGGGCTTTTAGGGTGCAGGGGATTCTGAAATGGGCTAAGGGAGAGAAGCTAGTGGATGTTCTAATTGATAGTGGAGCCTCACACAACTTCATATCCTAGAAAGTGGTAGAGCAGTTACCCCTCCCTTATCAGACCATTGCTGGCTACCAAGTGCAGCTTGGGAATGGTGATAGGGTCGTCAACAAGGGCAGGTGTGAAAAACTCATTCTGAGCTTGCAGGGAACTGTTATTCAACAAGATTTCTACATGCTGGAGTTGGAGGGAGCTGACATGGTTCTTGGCATGGATTGGTTGACTGGATTGGGGGATGTGGAGATTAACTTTCAGAAGCAGAGCATAAAGTGGCATCATCTGGGGATAAGTCAGACAATTCAAGGGGATCCTAAGTCAAACTCTATGGAGGTATCTCTGAAGACCACGTCACAAACTGTACAGGAGAATGGTGTGGGCTATCTTATTTACTGGGAAGGCAGAAAATGGGATGGAGAGGGAATTCAGCTGAAGGATTCCAATTTGGAAGGAATTGAGGGGAAGAGGAAAATTGATTACACAGTTGAAGTTGGTATGGGAGTTCTTATAAGGGTTCAAACTGGTTTGTTCCTGGATCCATTTAGAGCTGCAACGCCTCATAGCAGGACTGCCTTAGAACCCTTACATGAAAAGGTTGGTTACAAGGAGGAGGCTTCAAGTGTAATTCCAGGGAATTTTTATACCCAGTTTCTGCCCCTGTTGGCTGTGGAAAATGTGATGATGAAAGTGAAAGAAATGAAGCTCCCAGAGCAGAAAACCAAGAGGTACTGGGAAGGGAGAGGTTCCAGGATGAAGAGGAAGTTCAAGATCAAGGCTGTGTCTTATTACCCATCTTGAGGGCAAGGTGGTTATTTAGGGGGGAGTAATGTTAGGAATCTGCCTATTTAGTATTTTTAATAGGGTATTTGAAAGGAGAAATAAAGGGGCTGGGGGTCAGTTTAGTAATTACTTTAGCTATTTTAGTCCCTGCGTGGACTTAATGCTATAAATAGGAAAGGGGAGTAGCGTAATAGGGGGACTGATTTTGATTATCTGTTGCCTAAGTCCCGGTTGCCTAAGAGTCCCGATACTTGTTGCCTAAGTCGAAGCTTGCTTCGTCAATAAACTACTATTTCCCTCTTTGTTATCAGATCTGTTTTGCGTGTTATTGCTTTTGCTGAGATTATTCACAGGATCCTATCATCTTTCACCTCTTACAAACAAATTTTCTGTAACTCAAAAGATCCACGTGTGAATTTGAGAGTCGGCGAGTCTCTTATCTTGGGCATGTGATTGATGAATCTGGTGTGGCAGCAGATTCCAGCAAAATCCAACCCGTAGTGGACCGGCCCAAACCCATTTTAGCAACTGCTTTACGTGGCTTCCTTGGCCTAGCATGTTTTTACTGCAGGTCTATTATAGATTATGGCATCATTGCCACACCATTGACCAACCTCCTACGTGGCAATGCATTCCAATGGAATGAGCAAGCAGATGATGCTTTCAATGCCCTGAAAAAGCACTATCATCTGCCCCGGTTCTACAACTTCCCAACGTTTCTATTCCTTTTGTCATTGAATGTGATGCCTCGGGCATTGGAATTGGCGCAGTGCTGCACCAGGAAGGTCACTCAGTTGCATATTTTAGTAGGAAATTGGCAGACCGTCATCTCAAACTTCCACAATATGAGCGAGAATTAATTGGCTTATCTCAAACTGTGCGACATTGGCGCCACTACCTATGGGGGCGCTCCTTTGTGATCAAAATAGAACATAGCCTCAAGTATTTGCTGCAGCAACGCTTTACCTCTTCCCCTCAACAACATTGGATGAACAAGCTTCTTGGCGACTTCGTTGTGGAATATAAGTCAGGAAAGCTGATAGGATTATGGACTGAAAAGAATAATAATAATATAATAATAATAGTAATACTTATAGAACGATATTAAATAATTGTGGTAGTGTAAAAATAAGGGTTCCGGGCCATGTAAGTCATGGGTTTAGGCTGGCCCTTTAGAATAGAATTAGTATAAGAGTGGGAGGAAGGAAAGGAGGTAGGCAGAAATTTAGTTTGGCCATTCCTCTTATTTCCTTTCTTGAGCTCAACCTTCCAGCTTCCACATTTATTTAGGCCATTCCTCTTTTCTATTAGTTATTTACCCTTCTGCCCCTTCGGATGTAAACTCTAGAGAAATCCCTATTGTGATAAATGTCTAAAGTACCACCAGAATTAACGTGGCAGCTGATGCATGGCATTCCAGAGACTATTGTCACGGATCGTGACGCAACCTTCACACGTTCTTTTTGGCCTGAACTCTTCCGATTATGTGGTACTAAACTCTCATTTTCCACTGCTTATCACCCTCAGTCTGACAGCCAAACAGAGGTCGTAAGTCGCACTATAGAAATGTACTTGCGTTGTCTAGTCGGCAATCTTCCAAGGCATTGGGTGTACAGCTTATGATGGGCTGAGTATTAGCTATAATACTTCATTTTATTCCTCCCTGGGCACTACCCCCCTCAAGTTGGTCTATGGTCGTGACCCACCTCGCGTCTTACCATTTGAACTAGGGACTTCTAGGGTAGCTGCAGAGGATGAATTGCTCAAGTGTAGGGATGAAATCCTCATGGTTGCTCGACATCATCTCCAACAGGCTCAACCCCGATTTAGGGATCAATATGATAAGCACCATCATGAGGTCAATTATGAACCCAACCAATGGGTTTGGGTACGTCTTCAACACTACCGCAGTACCGCCAACAGTCAGTAACTCGCCATCGATTTCACAAGTTATCTCCCAAATGGTATGGACCTTTTAAAGTTCTGCACAAGGTTGGACCAGTTGCTTATAAGATTGATTTGCTTGTCGATTGTCACATCATGATGTTTTTCATGTTTCAAAACTGAAAACATTTGTGGGCAGTCCACCTGATCATGCTCCGTTCCGCCACTGCCCCCAATCACAGAAGGTCGGTTACTCCTTCAACGTGAAGCTGTTGTGCGCACCAGATCAAATTGAGGCTCTCCTGAAGTTTTGGTTGCTTGGAAAGGCTTTCCTTTGGAAGAGGCTACTTGGGAACCACTGCACGATTTTAAACATTAGTTCTCATCTTTCAAGCTTGAGGATAAGTTTGATGTCCCAAAGGGGAGTGATGATGCATTATTGCATTATACGGAAAGACCTATAAGCGCCCCAACATTAGTGGCAGATCCTAAGCTGATTAAGCAGTTCATTATGGAAGGATATTAATTTCCTTTACAGCAGATTTCTGATTTATTGTTTGAGTTGCTTTCCTTCATTAGACTAGTTACTTACTTTCCTTAGTTAAGTTGATCTGCAACTTTATTGCTTTCCATCATTAGATTAGTATTTTTTAAGAATGGATTTAATGTAATCCTCTCCTTCCTTACTGGTTCTTGATCTGCAACTTTATTTCTTTCCATCATTAGATGAGTCCTTTTTAAGAATTGATTTAATGTAATCCTTATTGGTTCTGGTAACCCTTACCATAAGTAGGGAGTCCAGCTTTGAATAATAAACAAGCCAAACTTAGGTACTTATCAAGGAGAAAGGAACTCCATAAAATTCCTGAAGTTTTATCTCCTTCCTTGTTTTCCCTTATTTTCCGTTATTACCTGCAAAATAGAGGAATCCAATCTCACTGCCCTCACCAACTGCCGGTTGACGTGAGCTCTAGCCTGGGAACATAACACGTTAGTAAGAGTCCTTGCAATTTTTCTCAATCGTTAACTTTTTATTATGAGTAAATGAAATGAAGTAAATGATAAATGTAATGCAACTAAATTTATTGAATGAGATGATTAAACTTGGAAACAATAAAACAAATTAAAGGAATAAAATAATAATAAATAAATAAATAAATAAATAAAGTTGTGTCACTACTGCTGCGGCCTGGCACATAATGTTAGGAACCATCTCCTGCTGCTTTTTCCTTCCATATTTTTGTTAGGCATGTGACTTCTAGTCACCTTAGTCCAAAAGGAACTTTTTTTTCGTGAGTGGCCCATCATCGTCAACATGAGTGGGCAGTAATGAACATATCACTTTGGCAGCAGGCGGAAGTTGATCTGTCTCTTATGTCTATGTATAGTCTTCTATGATAAGCATCATTTACGTTTGAAGAATCAAAATACTAACAATGGTGTGTGCTATGCTATAATATTAAAAGGGCAATCAAGTAGAAGAATGAGGAGTAATAGATGATTGGTTTGCTTGATTTGTTTTATTCTAACTTGAATTTATAACCGTCATGAGTTATTCTATATTAGGAAGTGATTAGTTAGGATTTCCCTTGGTTTAGCCATTTTCGTGCCATGTAATCCTTATTATAAAAGGGAGCTTTGTTAAACTAATAAGATGTCCAAAAAACAACTCAGAAGAAACAAGGGAGAAGGAAAGCTCTCTAAAATTCCACTCCCTATCCGTTTATCATTTATATTTCATTCCCATGATGCAAGATCTCTAGTACATAACACAAACAAACACGTAAAATCTCTTGGGTAACATAGTTCGTGATTTCATGCAAAAAAGCATGAACTACGTTTGCCCTGAGTTCATCTCTTGGTCTCAGTTTGCCCCGAGCCTAACAAGAAGCTCTATGAAATGCAAGGGAAAAGATAAGAATGCAATGGACCTCTCACTAAGCCAAATGCTCCAATGTCATGTGATTGTCATCATAACATCTTCAGATGCATATTAGTATTTTCTTCATTTATAAGTATGTGCTTAATGTTTTTGTATATACGCTAAGTCTTTTAATATAGGTGTGTGACTTTGGCTTGTCACGCTTAAAGCATAATACTTTCCTGTCATCCAAGTCAACTGCTGGAACAGTAAGAGTTTCCTATAATTTTATTCCATGAGTTTGTTTTTTTATTATCCAATTTTTGCTACATATCTTTATGCGCTTGTTTTCAATTTTAACTCCTGTAGCCCGAGTGGATGGCGCCAGAAGTTCTACGTAATGAACCTTCAAATGAAAAGTGAGTGTTAAACTGCTCATTTACTTGTTATCCCTTCCAGGTTCGATGTTGAATCAATATATGTTGCTCCTCTTTAATCTTCAAAGTGTCAATACCATGGAATGATAACATTTTTGCCCTAGTTTGGATTGATTTAGTTGTCAGAATTGGATTGCTGTGAATACAATTAAAGGGAAATAGATAAAATCTGGTTTTAAATGTCAGGAATTCATCCAATTCCTTCCCCCCCGGTGTACGGAAGGAAGCTGCTCTAAATTTTAGGAATAAAGAAACCCTAGAAATTCCCTAATTCCCAGGGTTTCAATACTAATAAAAGTATCACTTAAACACCTTTACTCTTTTAAAACATTCAATATAGTCAAGTTTACCGGGAAGCAACCCTCTTAGCAGGTTAAGAGCAAATTTGACTTTTCTTTTTCTTTTTCCATTTCTTTTCCTTTTCTTCTCTTTCCTTTCCTTCATTCTCCGCATCCTGTCCAACTTCCTTCTAGCAAGAGCAAATTTGACTTTTCTTTAATCTCTCTCTTTAGTCTTTCTATATATAACCTTCAATCCCAACTCTATTGACGACAAGTGATACTTTATTACAATTAAAGAGACACATAGTTTTTGATAAAAGTAGAGCAAGCTTTGGAAGCAAAAAAAAAAAGCTCTGCAAAAAAGCAGAGATGAAATTTAAGAGGCTACTGCCGCTCCCTTGTTCCATGCAATTGCCACCATTCGTTCTCTGAAGTTGGACGTGAATCTGCCGGCATAATGAGGAGATACCTCATGCAGCCAGTTCCAACTTCCAATAGTCTTTCTCTGATGTGTGTAGCAAGACAGGAACAAGAGGAACACCGGCGCATTTAGAGGTGGCCAGAAGCTGCAACGGCCGCATTTCACACGTCAAAGTGTGTGTCCTTTTCTTCCGCTCACCAAAACTTCCATTTTGCATCACCTCTAGCCCGACGATTCCTGTTGTCTTCTTCACCTTTTCCATCATCATCAATTGTTCTACATTTCTCGGGAGGCGCCGACGATTTGGAGGAACGGATGATGATTGTAATCCCGCGACATACATCCATGGAGGGACGACCACGAGGAATTAAAAGAAAAAAAGATGGGAAAACTTAAAGAAGAAAACAAGAAAAACAAAAAATTAAAAACAAGAAACAAAGAAGAAGATGATGACGAAGGTTGGGTTGTGGGAGTGAGGGACTACGCGGCCTAAGGAAATCTAATAAAGAAAATGAAAATAAATAAATAAATATGGGAGAAGAGAAGTAAAGGATAACCTGCTATTAAAGGTTACCTTCAGATAATTTGGCTCAATTGATTGTCTTTTAAAAGTAAATGGATTTATATGATGGTTTTTATAGTGCATGGGTTTAAGTGACCAATCTACAATTGTACAAGGGTCTATTTGATCCTTTTTCCTAAGACAGTGTTTCTAAAAGTGGTGTTGGTTGATGTTGCAATCGAAGAATTACTTCTCCCTCTGTTTCAAATATTAATCATATTTATAGTTTTTTTGTAATGTGTGTCCATGGGCACATGTTAATAAGAAATTGATGTGCTTTGTTTTCAAGTTATGAAAAAGAATGTGATGAAAGGGGCCAGCCCAGTGCACATTGGCATTCCTACAAGGAGAAGGGGAGGGTATGGGGGCTCCAACTACAAGGGTGTATAAGGAGCAAGCCTCCCCTTGTCATTTTTGACAAAAAGCCACTCCCAAGACTCAACCCATGACCTCTCAGTCACACAGTGACAGCAACACCCCTTAACCGGTGTGCCAAGGCTCCCCTTCTTAGAATGCGATAATTTAAAAAAAAATACTACCTCCGTCCCGAAAAGGTTTGCCGAACTGACTTTTCTTGGTCAATGATGGCAAACTTTGAGCAATGATTTTAGTTATTATATTTGTATATAATTTATAAATTTTATACTTCTATGAAAATATTTTCAATAAGGAATATTTTGATATAATTTTCATATTCTAAATAATTTCGTATTAAAATATATCATTGGTCAAAGTTGATTGTCATTGACCAAGAAAAGTCAATTTGGCAAACCTTTTCGGGACGGAGGGAGTATGTTTTAAAAAAATTGATACACTTTAAAAAGTATATTCCTCCCTAGGCATCTAGGGTTAACAGCCTGCTGTCTTGATATTGGATGAGGGTTTGTTTCATATCCTTAGCTTTGTTTTGGTGCTGTCACAGTGATCTGGATTTGTTCCCTTCCTTTTGTTTACTTTCTTTCATCGAGTGTTTTCTGGAGCTTCTAGTCATCTTTTAGGTTGAGTAGTGACTCTTGGATAGGATGGCAGTGGCAGTTCCTTTGGATGAACTTTACTCTCGCCTCACTATTGAGGGCGAGGACGTGAAGGCCCCTGATTTTTATGGCGCAACATTGGGTTCCAGAGCATAGTTCATACTTTGGGCAATTCACGGTGGTTGAGCGGTCGAGCAAGGCCTTGGTCTTTTAAGCAATGCATGAGGGTTTTACATCAGCTTGAGATCTCTGGCCTTCTGGTTGCGGTTCCCCTTGAGAATGCTGAATTTTGGGTGCAAGTTCAGTTCTCCACAGTCTCCCATTTGGATTCATGACTGAAAAGGTGGCTCAGCTTATAAGGAAATATGTTGAAAGTTTTTTGGGGGTGGATCCCCATAACTTCAACGGGCATGAACCACATGATAGTTGTTCATGCAGATTAGATGGCGGCTAGACCTTAGTTTACTGCTCAAGTGTCGTGCGTATGAAAATCTGGCGGCATCCTAGTTCTGGTTACATATATAGAAAATAATAGGAGATAGACTAAACATATGTTATGTCCATCACACCAAAGGAATATTGAAATGAATGGAATATGATAGAGTATAGCCACATTGAGGTTCCCTCTTTAATGATGTTGGGAAGGAGCCGCTATGAAGAAGTTCCGAGAGAGAGGAAGGAAGCTCAAAGCACGTATTAGCCATGAAGTAAGAATGGAAGTTGAACTTGATGAGATTGAACCTCCTGTTGCTTCATTTTTGGTGTTAGATAGACTATTAGATAGACTGTTATAAGTTGGTTATAATTGTTGTTGACTTGGTTGGTTAAGTTGGTTGAGCCTTGTATGACCTAACTGGTCTATAAATACTCTGTACTCTCTTTCACATGAATAAGATCAGTTTACTACTCTTCTCAAATATTCTCTCTGTACACTTTCTATTATGGTATCAGAGCTTTGCTCGATCCATTAGTGGCGATCACGACTGAAACTTCCAATTCTTCTTCGTCTACCGGAACTTCTGCATCCCCAGTTACTTTTACGCATCCTCTTCCAGTAAAACTCGATTCTAACAATTTTTCTTTTCTGGAAACATCATGTCGAATCAGTAGTTCGTGCACACAAGCTACTTTGATTCATTGTCAACCCAGTCATTCCAGAAGGATTCATCAGTAGTGACAATGAAACTAATGGAATCGAGAACGAGGTGTACACCACCTGGGAACAAATGCTATTCTCATGGCTTCTCGTATCGTTGTCTGAGTTACTTCATGCTCGAGTCATTCATTGAAGGCACTCGCATCAACTCTGTACTGAAATCAACAAGCACTTCCAGTCGAACATTTTCGCGAAAGCAAGGCAGCTGAAGTCCGAGCTGAACAACACTGTTAAAGGTGATCGTTCAAATTCAGAATACCTACTTCGTATTCAAACCATTGCTGATAACCTCTGTTAATGTATAAACTACAATGATATTGAACGGATTTTCTGTGTATTTCATTGGAGGGTTAAGGCCCTATATATACATTACAAAGATAGAATATTCCTTTAAGATTCTATACAATAATAATATCCTAGAGTATATTCCTAAAATATTCTAAAGCATATTCTAAAGATAGAAGAATATTCTGAAGCATAATCTAAAGAATATTCTAATGTCTTTCACACCCCTCCTCAAGTTGGAGCATAGATATTTATCATGCCCAACTTGTTACATAAGTAACCAACATGAATTCCATTTAGTGCTTTAGTGAACAAATCTCCAAGTTGCTCTCCAGTCTTCACATATCCTGTAGATCAATCCTTGTTGTATCTTTTCTCGAATGAAGTGACAATCGACCTCACTATGTTTTGTTCTCTCATGAAACACTGGATTGTTGGCAATGTGTATAGCAGCTTGGTTATCACACCAAAGTTTAACAGGCATTGGTGTCTTCAATCCCATTTCACTCAATAAATGGTTTATCCAGATTATCTCAGATGCCGATTGTGCCATAGCCCGATATTCTGATTCAGCACTTGAACGAGAAACCATATTTTGCTTCTTACTTTTCCAAGAGATGAGATTACCACCAACAAAGACGCAATAGCCAGATGTGGATCTTCTATCATCTTTAGATCCAGCCCAATCAGCATCTGCAAAGCATTCTATTCTCATGTGATTATGATTTTGATAAACAATACCTCGTCCCGGTGTCCCCTTCAAGTAACATAATATATGCTCTACAGTTTTCCAATGATCAACTGTTGGAGATGGCATGTATTGACTTACTACACTCACTGAGTACGCAAAATCTGGATGGGTAACTGCGAGATAATTAAGTTTTCCAACTGTGAATTATATGAAATGTATTTCATTATAATGAATCTTAATATGAAGAACTATACAAGTAGCTATATTTATAGCAAAAACTAGAGCACTAGGGTTACTATACAAGATGGGCTTAGCCCAATACAACTAGGGTTTCAACACTCCCCCTCAAACTGGAGCATATAAATTATATGCACCAAGTTTGTTACAAATATATTGCATCCTAGGTCCTCTAAGAGACTTGGTTAAAATATCTGCAAGTTGATCTGTTGTTTTGACATAATGAGTAGTAATATGTCCATTTGTGATTTTTTCTCGTATAAAGTGACAATCAACTTCAATGTGTTTAGTCCTCTCATGATACACTGGATTGGAAGCAATGTGCATTGCAGCTTGATTATCACACATTAGCTTGACGGGTTTCATGCTTCCGTATTTTAATTCTTGGAGGAGATGCTTCAACCATAATATCTCA